GAGAAGAAGAAGCAGAGAATGAAGGAAAAGGGTCAAAGTGAGGGCAGAGAAGCCAAGAACCAGAACCATTTACAAAAAGAGAATTTGAGAAACGAGAACCAAAAAGCCACCCCTGAACCTCTCAAGCAGACTCCCAAACCTCTTGTTCCTTAGGGGACCACGAGCACTGCTCTTTAGAGGCAAAGGAAAGTGACTAACCCATCTATCAGAGCTTCCTCTCCTACTGTCAACCCTAAACAGGGGAACAGAGCGGATCCAAGTATACTCCGGAGACTAGCAGAAAAGGGAGCAGCAAAGGGGCTTCGGTGGATGCCAATACATGTCATCAACCCAAAATGAAGAAGTCAGGTACAGGGAAAGAAGAAAGAGTGAACCCCAAGGAATCAACTAAGTTTCAAGGTGGTGAACTTGGGAAGCCGAGAAAGATTGAGTTTGGACCTCACCAGGAAGGATTGAGGCCACTACCAGAAAATGAAAAACGTTCCAATGGATACTGTCACCAGCAGTATGCTAGGGGAGCAGGTTACGGCAATGACCATCGACCAAAACTGATTCTGACCATTGGGTAGTCTCAGGAAAGCCCTCAACCTCCTTCTGGTTAAGATCCTTTCCTGGAATTGCAGGGGTGCCAAGCACTCCAAATTTTGTGCTACTCTCCAATTGTACAAGGTTAATTTCAACCTTGATATTGTCTGCATTCTTGAACCCAAAATTAGTGGTAAGAAGGCTTGACACTGACAAGGTTATCAAAGGAATGGGACGGATTCTTTCTCACTGCCATCTATGCTAGTCCAAATGAACATGACAAAAGTGATTTATGGAGCATTCTGAAAGGAATGGAGGGAGGCATCAACCTCCCATGGTTGTTGACAGAAGATTTTAACTCAATCACCACACTATCTGAGAAGCAAGGAGGCTCCCCTTTCAACTTTGCTAGAGTCAGAGCATTCAAAGATTGCATCGATGAATGTGGTCTCATCGGCCTTGGATACTCAGGTCACAACTTCACTTGGTTCTCCAACACAAATAGGATCAAAGAAAGACTCGACAGAAGTCTCTGCAACCTGGAATGGCAGCAACAATTTCGAGCAACCAGTGTGCTCCATCTTCCCAAGCTAAAGTCGAATCACAGATCGATTCTCAGTGTCACTTCCCCTGTACGTGGAAAGGAGAAATTGGTGAGGAGATTCCAATTCTTGGCTTCCTGAGTTGATCATAAAGAGTTCCTTCCCTTCATTTCAAGTTCTTGGAAAAATGGCCATGAGTTCCTTTTCTCTTTCCAGGATCTGGCAAGTGAGTTGCAAACATAGAATAAGGAGGTATTTGGCAACATTTTCAAAAGGAAGGAGTTGCTACACTCCCTCAAATCCTTAGAAATGTTTAACCAGAGGAAACCCTCCACAAGCTCCCTTGAAAAGGAACAAGAAACCAGAGAATAACTGGAAAATACCTTATGGCAAGAAGAGATGCAGTGGAACCAGAAATCAAGGGCCAACTGGGTTGCTAAAGGAGACATGAACACCAGCTACTTCCACAACTGTGCCCTAAGTAAAAGAAACAAAATCACCACACTACTCAATGACCAGGGACAATGAGTGATGGACCCGGATGAACTTCAGAAAATGGCTAGAAACCATTATGTTGATCTATTTAATGATGATACTCTTGATTGCAGGAACTTGATTTTAGCAGACTTTCCAGACATTGAAGAGAACTTGATTCAACCTCTCAGGAGGCTCCCAACAATGGAGGAAATCAAATCCATTATCACGGAGATGAATGGCCTCAAAGCTCCTGGTAAGGATGGATTTCATGCTCTCTTCTACCAAAAATGTTGGAGTACTGTTGGAATGGATTTCTTTCAATTCATTACTGCTTGCTTCAGGAACCCTGGTAGAATCCAAAGCATTAATGAGACACTTCTTGCCTTGATCCCCAAAGTGGACTCCCCATCATCAATGAATCATTTCAGACCTATTAGCCTATATAACATGGATTACAAGGTGGTAGCTAAGAGCATTGCTAACAAGCTGAAGAATCTCATGCTCCACCTTGCCCTGCCTAACTAGTCTAGCTTTGTTCAAAAAAGACATATAATTGACAATATTATCATTATCCAGGAAACTGTCCATTCAATGTCTAGAAAAACTGGAAGGAAGGGGAGTATGCTACTCAAGGCGGACCTTGCAAAGGCCTATGACAGGATCAGTTGGAAGTTCCTTGAAGAAACCTTGACTTCTGCTCACCTCCCTCTGGACTGCATCAAAATGAGCATGGCTTGTGTGACCACTACCTCATTCTAGGTCCTGTGGAATGGTGGACAAACAGAAAACTTCACTCCTTCATGAGGTCTTCGCTAGGGTTGTCCTCTCTCCCCTTACCTTTTCACTTTATGTGTTAAAAGACTGAGTCATTGCATTCTAAGGAAGTTAGAGAGGGAAACTGGAAACCTGTGTCTTTGTCTGCTGGTGGTCCTCCCCTTTCACATATCTTCTTTGTTGATGATCTGGTCTTGTTCTCTCAGGCCTGTGCAAACCAGGTTGATGTTGTTATGAACTTGAGTCTTTCTGCCTTGCTTTGGGTGAACTGGTTTGCAAAGAGACATCTTGTCTACTTCTCTAAGAATATTTCACAGGCTGCTAGACATTCAATTTGCTCTAGGCTTGGAATCCAGGAAACCAATGACCTTGGTAGGTACCTTGGGTTCCAGTCCTCCATGGAATGATCATTAAGAACACTTACAAGTACATTCTTGATAGGATTTATAAAAGTCTGACTTCCTGGAAAGCCAGAACTCTTTCTCTTGCTAGGAGTGTGACATTGGCCACTTCTATTCTTAATGCAATCCCAACTTATGCTATGCAAACTACACCAATTCCTCTGACTGTTTGTGACATGATTGATAGAAATATTAGGGGATTTGTCTGGGGTTCTCAGGATGGCAAAAGGAAGCCTCACCTTGTTTCATAGGACACCATCTGCAAACCCAAGAAACAAGGGGGACTAGGGTTGAGATCAGCTTGAAGCTTGAACAAAATATTCATGATCAAGCTTACCTAGCAGATATTTAACAATGAAAATGCTCTGTGGGTTCAGGTCTTTCAAGGAAAGTACTATAAGCACAGGAATGGTGAGATCATCTCCATGAAAAAGACTAACCATTCAAGCCTTTGGAGGTCTATTGTTCAGGCTATGCCACTCATGAAAGAAGCCTCGTGCTAGAGTATCAGGAATGGAGAGTCAACATCTTTCTGGAAGCATCCCTGGATTGAGAACGACTTGGTGCTAGAGAACTGAAAAAAGAAGAATCTACCTGCTTGCGGTCTTCTAGACTTTTATTTAAGCAAACACCCTCAAAAACTGGAATGGGTTCAGCTTGTCCGAAGACATATGATAAACCCCATCTCATCCCACGAATTACCTCAGTGATGATCTCACAACGGATGAAATTGACACTCTTGTGGCCTATTGGGTCGATTCCTCAGGTGAGTGGGACTAAGAAAGACTCAAGCTTCTTCTTCCTGATCAGGATGTGCTTTCTCTGAATGCAGGAATGGAGACACCTAAACTTGATCTCAGAGAGGATAAAATTATATGGGCCTTGAACGTGATGGTAGATTCCGTTTGAAGTCTGCTTACTACCTGGCTGCTGATGCTGTTGAGGAGGATGTTGATCAAAGCTGGAAGTCTCTTTGGAAATGGAAATGACCTAGTAGGATCAATCACTTTTTGTGGCTGGCCCTTCATGACAAACTCTTCACCAACAAGGAGCGGACAAGGAGGAAGATTTCGACGAATTCCAATTGCAACTGATGCAGGGACAAAGAAGAAACAATTGAGCATATACTGCGCAGTTGTGGGAAAGCAGCTGGAATCTAGCACAAATTCAAGGACAGGCTTTCCATCTGCGACCTTAACTCCCCCTTTCAGGATTGGATCCTAAGAAATCTGTGCAATGAGGATAAAGGGATCGACTTTGGGGTTATCTGTTGGAACCTCTGGAAGCAAAGAAATGAAGAAGTGATGGAAGGCAACAAGTTCTCTAAACAAGGTTTGATCTGTCGTATCAGAGCTTGGCTTAACATCATTGAGCAAGCTAAGCAAAGGGACCTGATCACTACCGTTTCATCTTAAAAGACTTACCACTGCAGTCAGATTGCACGGAAAGCCCCCGATGAGGGATGGATCGGTTTTGCAACCCTCTGGAAATGATGCTGCCTGCTGCAGGTGGTCTCATCAGAGATCATCTTGGACGATGTAAGGAAGCCTTCGTCTGCAACCTTGACAAGTATACAATCACCACTACTGAGCTGAAAGGTGCCATTGAAGGACTGAGGATTGCTTGGGAAGGAGGCTACAGGAAAGTTGAGTTAAATCTGGACTCGGTTGCTGCAGTTAGCATCATCAGAGACTGCTTGGACGACAACCGTTGACATGGAACCCTTGCTAGGCAATTTTACCATTTTCTTTCGTTTGATTGGGAAGTGAAAGTCTCACATGTGTATAGAGAGGCTAATTTTATTGTTGACTTTCTCGCTAGCAGAGGTCACTTGGTTGGTTTTGGTACACATTAGTTCAATGTGTACGACGTGGAGCTTGGCCATTGACTACGTCATGACATCGTGGGAGTTTGTCATGACATCGTGGGAGTTTCCCATGATCGTTTAATTATTAATACAAACTAGATACTATGACGTCGAACTTTCTACTAAAAAAACGTGGGGAAAATAACAGATTTTTTCCGCTTAAATATTGGAAGGAGATGGGAAGACAGATTCTCCATAAATGACGTGGATACGTAGAATTCTAGGAAGACTGACGTCGACATGGTCTAAATCTAAAACTGCTTTATCTATCTTTAGATATCTATTATATAGATGCAGATGACGATCTAGGCAAGTCGTTTGTAAGGAAAATGACGTTCTAGGCGTTGAGCGCAAGGTGAACCGCAGCTTGTGCTTTAGACTGGGCTTGCCTATTACGGTGAATTCAAGTGCACAAATTTGAAATTCTGGTAGGACGAGAAAATGGAGAAAAACAGATATAGTAGATTTAGCATTGAAGGGAACGATGTTTGCTCTATAACGATCCACCAAAGAAGCAAATTTGCTGCAGCTCAAAAACTCAAAAGGCTGCCTGCTGAATGCTGACAATATTCTCATCCAAAATGAATAAGCGTTGGCCAAGGAGCAACAATCTAGTGTTGTTTTCTGGTTCAAGCAAACAGATTACATTCTACAGAACTCCAAAGAAGGGATTGTTTATGGCGGAGTTCAACTCTGAACCTGCTGAGTTCAGCACAGACACGTCAACCTTCCCCCTGGGCAGGAAAAGGAACTCACCAGCTTCGATTTTCTCAAACCCGCATAACTCCAAGAACTGGACCCCTCCTTGCAGGGAACCAACTCTATCCTGTTTTGATGCAATTAACAATCAATCAGTACTGAGGCCACGGAAATAAGCAGAGCAATAGTAATTTGAAAGCACACTATGTTGGCGTGATATATAGATATTACCCGACTGTTCCAATTGATTCATCAATGGAATGATTGATAGAAATATTTTACTTGACACCCGGAATAAGGATCAGAGTTAACATCTGCAATTAACATATGAAATGAGAAGACATTCCATACCTGGAAGGTTTGGTTACTGAGTCTAATTTTTCTGAACTTCTCCTCACTTGGCGTTTTAGCTACATTTCCAATGTAAGTTAAGAGAGTTTGGAAAGCTCTCTTCACTTTAGCATCATCATCCTACAGAAACCAACAAGTGAAGTTAGAGACAACATATTACATGGATCCGTAGCTTTCCACCTGGTGCATCACTTTTAGAGACAATGATATTCAAACTGCAAGCAGAACTATAGTTACAATCAGCCTAGCAAAGACATACATCTGCCCACTAACGAAGTTGCTAAACTACAATTTTGCAGGAGACCTATTCCTTGAATCGATGGAATTTCCAAGATATGCACATTAAAAAATGTGTAGCATGATGTTATTTTACCTTGTGAGCTTGCTTAAGGGATCTCAGACATTCCCTCATTTGTTCTGCTTTTGTGGCTGGCCGGATAGGCAATGAGCTCTGCAAATATTTGTGAAGTCAAAATATAGAAAATCATCTACAAAAGCACAAAAAGAAAACTAGGGTATTCCTCGTACTTTTTTTTCTTCAACAGGCACTGGAGGGGCTACTGGTTTTGCAGTAGCAGGATCTTCCGGGGGCAAACCAAGCTTCCTTCTTCTTTCAGCCTGTGTATGAAAAACAATTAACATGACCAAGTAAGAATGAAGCTGCACACAGCCTAGTTACTTTATCTTACCAATCAAGATGACAAATAATAATAAAATTAAAATCAGTCCAGCAAAGGGGAATCTCCAGAAAAGCAGTAACCTTGTCTTCCTCCAGCTTCTGACGAATCTTTTCCCTGGCTCGCCTCTCTTCTTCTTTCTCGGCCTTCCGCAGGGCCATAATACTGAAAAAGAGGGAAATATTTTAACATGGATAGGGCAAGAAGGAGCACTAAGTATTAAATTAACAGAACAATGAATGGACCGGAAACAAAATACTACAAGCTACCGTTTTCTTTCATTGTCTTCTTCAATTCGTTTGGCCTCCAGTAGCTCCTTGCCAACTCGAATCCTCTCCTAAGAAAGACAATTTACGACCATTATGTACATATAGGACAGGTTAACTATGTTGAGATATAGGATAAAACATAATGCATCCCCAGCAGATTCTGATATATAATATTCAATGATAAGTTCTCCTTCTAGGACACAACTGTGGACCATTTAGTTGAAGAAATATCGTTTTAGCGAATTAAGAAAAGGAGAAAAATTCTCAAATGACAGAAAATAACCTTTGTATTTTACGATGTCATGCAAGTGCGAGAAAATTCACCTACATGCAATGGCTTAAGTAGAAGAGGAAAAGCCATAAGTACTTTTAATCAAGTATCAAATTACCCATGCAGCAGTCCCCAATTGCATGGATGAATTACAAAGGAATGTTGAAAGCAGGAAACAAGTACATTATAAAGTTGAGCACAGCTAACATTAAAAAGCCATTCTGAAAAAACAAAATTAAGCATTCATGAAATAAATTGTGCTTGCTAGATAGCTCAAACAATGGATATGCACAAAAATAAACAAACTGCTGAAATAAGAAATTCAAACAGACAGAAGAGATGATTCTTAGGACAATCCAGCGATACCTTTTCTCTTTCTCTTTCCATTCTCCTTTCTTCCTCCTCTTTCTTCTTACGGGCACGCTCCCTTAGGATTGTGGAGAAGAAACATATATAAACCATGAGAAGTGATTCAATCAGAAAGGAAAAATGACCACATAAATGAAGGACTGAGCTTGACAAGATATTGCCACAAAGGTCGTGAGTTCATGCTCACAAAATCTTACCTCAGTTCTGCTGCTTTTTGTTTCACTTCTTCTGGTGTAAGAGCAGCCTTTGGAGCCTCAATCTTGGTGTTGGCTGGCACCTGAGGACAAAGGGGGAAAGACAATTCAATAAGAATACGGAAAGTTGGTGTCTGGGTTATGACACGATGCTATGACAGCATGTGAGAGACAAATCCGAAGAGAAGAGCAGGCATGAAACAATAGTGAACGAACAGCATATTTGATTATGAAAAATAGACAACAATTTCCTACCAGGGGCAATTCATCTACATCCAGGTCTTTCTCATGCTCAACTACCCAATTCACAGCAGCCTCAAGACTGTTATTACCTGAAGACAACATCGTCATAACATTTTAGTAATCACAAGCTAGCCAGGATTTAACTTCATTAAAGTAAATATAACTAATGTATCAATGCTTTTAAAGGAAAATAGCATTGCTGAAAAACTAGACAACCATGTGTCCTTGTCAATAGGACCCAAGAAAGAACACTCTAGTGTCCCAAGGACAAACCAAAACCTATCATGTCCAATCCTCCAAAACAACAATCCAAGTAGATATCTGAACCTATTCCCCCCCCTCCCCGGCCCACTGTCTATAGATAACCTGGATTTCATGATTCGGGAGCCTACATTCTACTGAATGACACTGTTCTCATGGCAGTTTATTTAATTTTCTGGTGAAAGGCTCAGACATCTTTCAGTAATACATATTTGATATTTCATAGTAACAGAATTGAGAATACATACAAGAAGTTAGAGAAGTCTAGTAAGAACTATAGGTAATATTCCCTTCTCAGCATCAGCAAACAAAATGCATGTCCGGTAACACAATGAAATGGAAATATGCCTTGAAATGTCCTCACCAGAAAAATGAAGTGCCCTGGTGGCCCGTGCCTTTGGGAAACCCATTCCTTCCAGTTCTTCGAGCAGCTTTGCGTCAACTTCTGGAGCAACCATTTCTTCACAACAAAGTTCAATTAAAAGAAGTATGATTAGAAGACGCTGTAAAGGAATTACACTCCCATGCGAACATAACAAGTTTGTGATGTGTTATTAAGTTTGTCTTTACTGGTTTTTGACCAATCCAGTGACAGAATAGATAAACTAAAGCCAACCAAATCAAAGGCCAGAACGAAGGACCAGCTAAATGCAAACACTGATTTACCAAAACGAGAAATGCAACTTCCAAATGCCTTTCACAATATAGTGCCTACGAAATATCTGTACCACAAGCATAAAGAAGAGGAGGACGAAAAGGAAATACAAACAGCACTACCTTCAGGCTGACCGCTACTGCTAGTAGGCTCATCCACATCCATTGCAGCCTTTGGTGCTTCTAAACTTATAGGCTTTGTAGCCTCCTCTGTCTTATCCACAAACTCTGTATGACCAGTTCTCTTTGTGTGCAAATCCGTTTCCTTCAAGGGTGAAAAAGAAACAGGATCAGCTTATCAATCATACAACAACACAATTCCATTCCACTCGGACAAAAATCTGCTAAAACTAAACACCAGTCCAGTACAAGTCAATGGAAGTTCAAGGTCTTGAAATTCAGTTCTTTTTTTGGTAGAAATGAAATTCAGTGCTAAACAAACTGAACTCTCCCCCAACAATCACAGTGATATTTATACTTAACAGTTAACACTAATATGGCCAAGGGAGGCTAAACCTTTAAGAGTTTTTCCAGAAAAGCTTAAAACTTTTCTATCCAGAATATCAACATTCTAAGAACCGGAGATCGATTTCCAGAATTGAGATTAACCCACAGATCTTTTTTCACAAGAACTATACGTTTCAGTCTCGCCTAAGAGTTCCCCAATTCAATTTTTCAGCCTAGCCAAACTAAACCATAACTGGACCCCATCAAACCCCAAATCTTCAGATGTGATGCAAACTTGATTCGAAACACAAAAACTTGACACCGGCAACCCAATGGAAACCCTACTGTTTTCGATCGGCAGGGCTTTCCACAAGCAGAGCAGACGAGGTTAAGGACGGCCTCCGTCGACTCCGAGAAATTGGAGTGAGAGGTCAGCTCGGCGTGCTCCTGAGCTTCCTGCACGGACTTCAACAGGGCGCCGCAATCCCCGCACTTCAACGAGACTCCCGCCATTGATCGATCCACCAATCACCACAAGCAGCAGACCTCTAAACTTTATCGGCGATGAATAGTCGCGGCCAGCTCGGCCGGAGGTTGAGAATTTGGGCTCTCTGGTCAGCTGGATTTGGAAGATTTCGGATCGTTGTTTCGTTTAAGTACATAACTCTGTTACTTGTTGGGAGACGAAACGGTTTAGGAAAAAGTTCGTGATACTAGAAAAAGGACAATTACAAAAGGGAAAAGTTAATACGCTAACTTGATATTTGTTAGCAGATACTAATTGATATCCAAATTACATGAACTAGTATCCAAGTACTAAAATAATTAAATAACTAGAGAGCACAGACTAGTATTCAAAATTTGCTAACTGATATCCATCATGAATCAACTATTATCTCAAGTTCACAAACTAATATCTAGACAACACAGAATAGTATCCATATAGCACATAAACACTAATAATCGTCCTAAAAACTACTAATGATCGTCCTAAAATCTTTACCTTTCCTTTAGCAAATAAACACCACCTTCACTTAGAAAGCAAAAAACATTCATTCTCCCACACTCTCGAATTCATCATCGACATTTGGAAGCCGAAATCATCGAGCATACGTCTGAAGAATGAGTAGCGACTCCCACGAGGTAAAAATCTCGTTTTTTTTTTAAACCCAAAAAACCTCAATCGAATGTAATTTTCGGTTGGTTCAACCGAAAATCGGATTTGGTTGAACCATTGACCAACCGAAAATCACTTTCGGTTATGCCATGGACGAACCGAAAATCTGCTTCGTCTGGGCCATGGTTGAAACGAAAATTGGATTCGGTTGATCCACGGTAGAACCGAACCCTTCCTTCGGTTAAGCCACGGTGGAACCGAAAATTGACTTCGGTTAAGCCATGGTGGAACCAAAAATTGGCTTCTGTTGGTGGATTTTAGGTTTTTTTTAGTTTATATCAAATATTTCTATTCTTTTGTTATGATTTATAGTTTGGTCTATAAGATAGTTTGTTGAATTTTAGTTTATATTATTTTTTAAATTTATGAGCATAATTATTTGTGAAATTGAATGCTTTTGTATCCAAATTAAGATTAGATGTATAATACACGGTTAGTCTCTTAATAAATTTTCATTTATGTCTTCTTTAGAAGTTTTACTTAATCTAGTATCCTAATTTTCTTTCTTTGTTTGTAGGTTTATAAGAAGAACTATGATTACATTGAGGCTCAACATTTTCAAATCCAAAAGCTTCTAGAGGATTCTAGATTAAAGAAGATGTTACTAGCGGACGGAAGACCATTTCGGGAGTTGCATACAAACGTCACTCTACAGGCTATGAGGTTGATGGTTAGATGTAGTTGTAGTTATTGTATTTGATGCAACTCTTGATTTACTATTTTAGAAATGCAAAAGAAAAAAAGTCCAATCATCTGAAAATTCCAAAAGTTAGATCATCTCACTGGCAAAGACAAAGTAGCAATTCCAAATAAAAATAAAGTACAAGGATAACAATCTAGAAATGCCACACTCCACTACGGAGTCGCTCCGACTAACTGGTCATACAACTCGTGAACCACACTCATGATATCGTAGTACTCAGATGCATGCTCCATATAGTCATCCTTGTCCCTCACCACCAACACAAGACCAAGCTTCTCCACAACCTGCTTCCTCAACTGTAAATACAAAAATAATGTCATGAATGAAAAAAAACATATGAACAATACATTAAAAATTGAACAATTATGACATAACTAACCTCATCGACTAGCACTGCCCGCTGTAGAGACACTCCACCAGAGTTCGGATCGATGATCCGTGGGTGCGATCGAGTCCGGTACCAGTCCATGTAATCCTCATCGGCCTCAGATGGATACTCGCACAAGTCAGAATCAATCGCTATGTGTAGAAAATGAGATGGCATGTTGCCCTATAACTGATCCATGCTACCCTCCCAGAAAATGATGTAGGTGCTGCAAGTTGCCCCATAACTGATCCATGCTACCCTCCCAAACTGTCGGCGACACCGTGCAGGATCATAACCCTCAGCAATGTCAGCAAAGCAAATGACACCAGTATACAAAGAGGGTAGTATCTCCGTGCCAGCATCTCTCTCGTAAGGAGTCCAAGACACATCCTCCCCTAACATCTCATCCAACATCTGTCGATACCGTACCAAGCGATGTCTAGCATCATCACCACCTGCAAAGCGGTGACACACCCATGAGGAAGCACGAGGAGCATCTGGAGCCTGGAGAATCTGGCTCGGACGGAAGAGTGGAAAATACTCATATATCCAAGCCTGAAGCAGAGTCAAACAACCACAAATGCTCTTACTCCCCACTCGTGTGGCCATCCCTAGCTGTCTGTAGAGATAGGCGAGTGCAGCAGCTCCCCAGGCGTAACCGGCCGCTGGTCCTTCAGAAATACATTGATCGCAGGAAGGAGGCGATCGCGACTCTTATCCACAAAAAGTGTGAATCCCAACAACACAAACAAGTAACACTGCACCTCCAGGTCCCTAATCTTCATTTCTCGTCCACACACCACAATTCCTATGTGTGTATACCACCATTAAGGAACCACTTCGACTTCCACTTACCACCAACATGACCATCCACCGGGACCAGAACTAGATCATGCATGTCTAACTTAAGAACACCCGGATGCAGATCATCTCTCATCAGCTCCCCCTCAACTGGAATACGAAGAATGTGATGCACGTCATGGAGAAGAATCGGCATCTCTCCAAATGGCATGTGGAAGGTGTTCGTGTCCGGCTGCCATCTCTCCACAAATGTCGTTATCAAAGTTGTATCTAAATGTTGCATCATACACCCTGCCAAGTGGGACAATCCTGTGCCCTCAACCACCTTCTGAGAACCCTCTGAACTCCATTCATATCTCCTGAAAGACTCCACACTACCAGATCTATGACAACAATCCAACAACCCACGATCCTGCGCAGGGGAAGTCCACAATGCAAAGGCTATGTGATCTCCAAAGCTAGGGATCACATGGGGAATCACAGGTCCACCTGAACACAGCTGGGACTCCGATGTCAGACGCCACGACATGTCCCCCCTTACTCCCTTCTTCCTCTTCTTACCATCACCGTCTTCCTCACTACTACGTCTCGCAACGTAGCGTCCATCTAGCCACGCCGTGGAAAGTGCGAAGAAGCAGTAGAAGATGTCCCATCTCGTGTCTTCTTGCCGATGCCTACATCATATTCAGGTGGGACATGCCCAACCTCGTCAACAACCACATCATCATCATCATCATTATCATCATCGTCGTCGTCCATAGAAACTGGATCACTCCAATTAGCCTCCCACGGCGTCGCATCCTCAGGAGTAGGGGTGGAGGTAGTACCTCGACTAAGAGATAACTGCCCCATAGTAGAGCGACCGTTGGGACGCCCTATTTCCGCCTTCTTCTTCTTCCCCTTAACCTTACGTGGATTTTTTTCTTTATTTTCTTTTCGACCAGTCGCTGTAAGTCTACAAGCACGACCTTCCATTCTTTCTTCCGTTTTTTCTTCCATTCTTTTCTTATTCATGTACGGTTTTCCTATTCCATGTCCAGACATCTTTAAAAAAAATGCAATTAATGATAATCAAATGCATTAACATTTTCTGATAATTTTCTCTATTTTTTGTGTATTTTTTTGATAATTTATTAACATTAATTACAACTTTCTTAGTAATTTTTTCTAATTTGGGCTATTATTTAATTTTCCCATTATTTCTAATAATTTTTTAACATTAATTACATATCTACAGATTATATTTCTAAATTTTGATACTTTTTAAAAATTTCAAATAATTTTTAATAATTTTTTTACATTATTCATAATATTGTTTTCATAATTGAATTCATAAAAATATTCGAATATAATTTTTATAATTAATTATAAACTATATAACTTATTTATAATTAACTACAATTTATTTCTAATTATCACTTAATTTAGAATATTTAATAATAATTTTTATTAATTAATTGCATTGAAATTATTTAAAAATCAACCCAACCGAAAATTGACAAAGGTTTGACCATGGCTCAACCGAACATTGAATTCGGTTTGACCATGGCTCAACCGAAAATTGACTTTGGTTTGACAATGACTCAACTGAAAGTTGACTTCGGTTTGACCGAAGGCCAACCGAACGTTGACCTCGGTTTGACCGAGGGCCAATCGAACGACGGCTTCGGTTGTTGAAGGGAGATGCAGGCGCCAGGCTTACCTTCTCCGGCGAGGACGGACGGCAGGCGACTGGAGGCGTGGCGGGAGGAGGGGCTGACGGCGACGGCGAGTGGAGGCTCGAGTGGAGGCGCGACGGACGTTGACTACTAGCGCGGACGGCGACGACGAGTGCGGACTGACGGCGACTAGAGGCGCGGCTGATGGGGACTGGAGGCGTGGCTCACGGCCACTAGAGGCTCGGCCAGCGTGGCAGTGTGGGGCGGCGGGTTGAAAGCCGTCGTGGCGGCGTGGGTGCTGCGTGGCGGCGGCTCTGCTGCTGGAAAAGTGTCGGGTAGAGGAAGTGTTTGGGAGGGGGTTTTTTTGTTTAGGGTTTGATTTTGAATTTTAAAAAGGATAATTCAGTAATTTACGTATTAAGTTAGGACGACGGTTAATAATTTCTAGGACGACTTTTAACCCTTAAGATTATAAAAGCATAACAAATTTTCACAAAAAAATAAAAGCATAACAAATTTATTACCAGGCTCAGTAAGCCCAAGTGATCGGCCCATCTTAGACGGCCTGCTGAGATCTACGGGCCTTCATGTGGATCTATCTGAATCTGACTGCAGGCAGCGGTTTCGTTTTGCACTTTGCAGTTTGCACAGTGCAAGCACCATCTTGCCATTTTCGTCATCGATCTGAAGTCTCTCTGAAGATTCTGAACAAAGAAAAAGAGAAAAGGAGGCCACCTTTACTTTCCTATTCTCTCTGTTTGTTTGTCGAGAAACCGTTTCGAATCGTAACGAGAAAATCAGAGCTTCCTCAAACCCTAACTTGTGAATTCGTTGAGGAGGAGCGAGCTCGGTTCGATGATCACGGATCGTTGAAGATCGCGCGCTATGATGAGGTCAGGCTATGACCTCTTCTTGAACGCGAGAATCACATTTTTTGTTCGAGTTATTGATGGAACGCGGCCACAGTCTCTCTTCAGAGCCAAGAACGACAGCGACGAAGGAGAAAAAAAGCAGCAGCGAATTGGTGAGTGTGAAATTGATCGAATGGGAGGATTACGAGCAGGAAGTCGCGCGATTGTGGAGCCTTTCCTCTGCTCTTAAGGAAGCTAGAGAGAAGAAGGAAGGTCTGGAGGGGAAGCTTCATTCGCTCAATCAGGTAGGACCGTTGCGATAGCTAGTAATGGTGAAGTATTTACTCTCTGCATTTTGCTTTCTAGAAGCATAAATGATGTTTCAGCTTTCTTGTCTTAATTATCTTGAGAGGTCCATTTAGTGCACTCTTAGGTTGTCAGCAAATCTGGTAAAGAATTACCAGTTGGTATTATGTTACCCCATTGTGCCATTTTCTTGGGCATTAATTGATTAGCCCGCGGATTAGCGGGCGGCAACATGGTCGGCAGGTTGAAGCTGAGTCATTAAGTCGATTGAATGTGCTTGAAGAGATAAGGGAGAGGGTTGGCGCTAGGAAAAAGATGATGGAGAGCTTGTCAGACCGCTTGCAGGGTGCAGCAGAGAAAGCTAAGAAGGAAGAACAAAGACTTGGTGCAGAAGTTAGATCGCTTTTGGTAGCAGGAACTGCTCTTTCTGTGGCTAACAAGCAACTGGAGGTAAGTTGTGAGGTTTTGCTGCTACTGTGCTTTTCAGAAAAATTAGTTGATTAACATTTCATATATGTTTTGAGTTAGCAAGTGCCAGTAATTGTTTGCATAGGATGTTGGTCCTATAAATCTCTGGGTACCCCAGTTTATCCTGCAATCAAATAGTCGGGATAATAGAAAGCATGCTAGAGAGTAGAAGAACAGTTTGTTCCATCGAAAGTTGTGAAGATTGACAATAAGATTTGACTTATTGTCCTTGCAAGGATCAGGTGATATTATCGGCGTCCCAGTGCTATATATCCTATAGAAATGCTGGCAGTTCTTTCAATTTGTAACTACAAGCTTGCTGATAGGTGGGTGCTGACATCTACTACAGAAAAATGATAGGGAGTAATCACATGTATTTAGTCTGGAAAGTTGTTTTCTACGAAAGGAAAATGTTAATGATACTTTGAAAAGCCTAACAGCAGGAGTTTATAAGTTTCCGTTTGTAGTAACTACTCTGCTTCTCTACCGAAATATGTGTCCGTAGCATAAGATTGAATTTATTTCCTCTCCCTTTCCGTCCATTACATCACGCGCTTTGAGTTGTGTGGATTACCATGATGGTTAAATCAACTGGTTCTTGTCCACTGAATGAAAATGATAGATGGGTGCTGACATCTGCTGAATGAAAATGATAAGGAGTACTCAGATGTATTTAGTCTGGAAGTTCAAGACTTCAAGTTATGTGAAATGTTTTCAACGAAAACAAATGTCAATGATACTTTGAAAAGCCCAACAGCTGGAGTTATTAAGTTTCCGTTTGTAAGAACTACTCTGCTTCTCTACCGAAATACGCGTCTATAGCATAAGATTGAATTTGTTTCTTCTCCTTTGCCGTCCATTCCATCAAGCTCTTTGAGTCATTTGGATTACCATGATGGTGAAAGCAAATGGTTCTTGTCCACATAACGTTGGTACCTAATCTAACTGTATGAGTGTATAATCATGAGATGGCTAGAGGACGCATCCTTTGTTTCAGTCAATTATATGAACAACTTGTTCTGCTTTGGAGATGTTGTTATAATAGGTCAGAAGCAAAATGAGGTATATCTTTGGATTTGAAAATGATTTTAATTCATAAGAGATGTTACATGGTTGTATGCTCGTAACCTCGGTAGAAGACTAATTGCACCATGTTAGTAAGTTATATGCGTAGGCAATCCATACCACTATTTTTCCGTTCACGAAATCTTATTTCTAAGGAGTTGACTTATTCAGCACACTTGCTAATCCATCTTGAATAACTTTGTTTGTACTACGAATGAACATCAATATGAAGATGTGTCTGCACTCTGCACACATGATAGCTTCTGTAGATCAATATGAAGATGCTTCTTTTTCCTTTTTCCTTTCGCCTGATTCTTGTTAGTTTCAAGAGCATATGATAGCTTGTGTACCAGAAATAAGCCATACTTTTTACTACAGGAATCAAATAGGTTACTTGCTGGAGAAAGTGGATTTCTTCGTCACAGAAACTTGCAGAAGATGCTTAGGTTGAGGCAACAGTTTATGATATCACAGGTGTCATTGCTTTATTCTGTAAAGATGTCACCTGGACGTTCGCAGGATCAAGAACTTGAATCACTGCCTAGCACTAGTAAATCAGGTAATGAGATGAGGAATTCTAATAAACCTTTACCTGTAGCCAAAATGGATGATGTATCATCGGAATTCATTGCCGATTTTGCTTGGCCCTGTATCAACTTAGGTGTTCGCCACTTTATCTGTTCTTTAAGCAATGCCTTTTTTGTGTTTCAAGTTTGTTGTGGAAAGCCTGCTAATCCAATGGTGACTTTACCCGTGGCCACCCCTTCCCTCTTATGTCCTTTTCTTCCTCTTATTTTTGTCGAATCAGCCGCTGTACAGGATTGCTGCAATATGTTGTCATGAAAGACCTGGATGACTCTTATTACAATCTTGATTACAGTTTCCTTCTGATGCCTCGAACCGTAATTTGATTCTTGCTCTAATTCAAGATAGATACACCAAACGGTGGAAAAGAATAGTAAAAAAAACGTAGCTTCTGGATGTGTATTGATCACTGGTTCGTAGTTTGCTTGGTTAATGCATGTCTTAGCTGTGAAGCTTGACCATGACTTGTGTCTTAATTATTTACCTTCACCATCCTTTTTCTCAGGGAGCTATGCTGGATCTAAACTTGTAAACCCAGGATCCTTGACCATTTTAGGTCTGCATTTGACTATGCTTCCTTTCACAAAGATGAGCTTTTTCTCCAATAAGAAGGAGGTCCAGAGGTCTGCAACAGCCCTAGGATATGTTGCTCATGTGTGTTCTATCTCTCTGCTCAACTTACTGCTACGCCAATTTGTCCTTGATGTTTTCATTTTCTATGATATGTCTTCGACATTTACTTTTATCTATAGTTGATATTAATCTTAACCGAATCATATTAAAATTGATACATGAAATATAGCCCGTAAACATTTTTCTAGAAGTTACTTCTGCTGTGTTATGGTCTAATGAAGGAATTACTTTGGCTGGGCATGTTTCTGCAGACCACAAACTACTTTTGGAAAGCCATGTTCTTAGTTATTTCTTCTGGAAAAAATCACGTACTTTTTGTTGATTAGGCCGTTATCCAGAAGGTTTCTTTATTGCTTTGGGTTTTTATGCAGGCTGTGTCACTTATATCCTCATACTTAAAAGTTCCCATCCGTTACCCTGTGCGCTTGGGTGGTTCTCATTCTTATATCATTGATCCTTCACCTTCAATAGAGCCCGTATCATCATCAATGGGGTCGTCAAGTACAACATCTCAATCCAACGTGAAGCCTGTTGAATTCCCCCTTTTTCTAGATGGTCAAGATACAACACGAGCAGCTTATGCTGTATTCCTATTGAACAAGGTTAGTCACTCGTTTGCATTCTTGGGTTTCCTGTGTTTCTGGTGAAGCCCCTTGTTCTTTTTTCTTGAAATGGGAAACCCTTTAATTCGCGTGAACTTCTGAGCGCCATTGTTAATCCTTAGTTTTAGTTCTATTTTTTAAACATTTTGTTTGCTTGCTTTGAAAGGATGGAATGACAAGTCTTATTATTATTATCAAATGATCAAGCTTGAAATTGACAAAGAATTCCTGACATGCTTACATCAGTGAGGCATAGCACATCAGTGAGGCACTAATGCCGTGCCAACATGTTTCTGTGTTTCTTTCTAAAGCTGGTCTCTTGGTCCTCAATGCTACTACGCATGTCTTGATGATGTTTGTAGGATTTGGAGCAGCTCTTGAATTACATTGGTGTCAAAAGTTTAGGGCCACGCCATGTATTGGCTAATTTGAAGGAGCTTGTGAGGACAGTGCAATCTGCGGAGTTTTTAGAATCGTGATTCACAGGAACCTTGCGTAAAAAGTTTGCAATTCGTCTCTGTAAAGTGGACTTGTATTCTTACACAGGTGCAATGTTTTGGTTTTCCAGTTTCTAATTGGAGCACCTACCTCCATAGCCCATAGGAATTTCAACTTCAATGTCTTTTACTCTTTTGGTTCCTTAGGTAGGAGCCCGTTTTTGACTCGTTAATAGGAAATGAAAGTGTGGGATGTTTGATTTGTCTTCTTCAGTTCACTGTTTGATCTATCGTTAACTTTACCAACGAACTTATAGTCTAATGCTTTGTGTATCTTTTAGCTATTTTGCGAATGCTGCTTAAAAATACTTGTTACTTTTGTGTATCTATTTCAGAATATTCATGGCAAAAGAAAACGAATGGTATTACAGTCGACTTTTATTTTTTCCTTGTTTCTGAGAAGATTGTTTTGAGAAATGCAACATATGTGTAGTTTGCTCTTCTTTAATGACGCCTCTTCAATTGCCTTTCTCCTTTTCCATTGACATAGCCGATCACTATTCTGTTTCTTGCCAATCTCCGACGGTGATCATCTCGTGGCCATTGGGTAGACCTCCTGCTTCTCGCTGGCGATTTCCACCTCCCCTATCTTCTGATGCAGTCGTCTCCTCACCATATGCAGCAGCTTCTCCGGCTCTGCTTCAATCATCTCTACCATTTCCCGCCCTCTATCACTGTACATCGCTTCCACGCATCTCAGGAAATGGATGCGACCCTTTCCTCCACGAATCTCTCCGTCTTCACGATCATCCTCGTCGGTTCCATTCATTCTTTCGTCGATGTAACAAGCAGCGGACAGGAGGCACTCCTTCAGCTCGTCCACATCTTCCTCCATCACCTGAGCATTGCCCAGCCGCCGCCTATTGAAGTCTGGTTTCTGAACTGTCGGTGGATGCTGGGGCATGGCAGCTTTGAATTTCTCCTTCTCCGGGGTGGTAGCAGAAATCCTCCTCATCCTGCTGCTGCATTTCTGTTCTGATTCATCGGGTCTCGTCCTCTTCTCCATTTCTGGCCTCGGAACCCTGCTGCATTCTCTAGGGACGTCAGGGACCGATCTTGGCTTGTCGAAACTGAATTGATACAGGTTAGGCAGGAGCTGCTGGTAAATATCTGAAGATGATGATGCTTTCCTCTGGCTTCTCTGAATCCAACCCAGACATCGGCTCTTTTCACTGGTGAATTTCTCCTTCACCTTTTCATCTACTTCTGAAACAACTGGAACTGCTATTCTGGTCTCATCGTTATTCTCCTTTCTATTACAAGTTCCTTCTTCTCTGCGAGCTAAGCCGCCTGCACATGGAAACAGAGGAGTCGCAGACTGTGGCGGCTCTGCTCCTGCAACCGCCGGCAGAAATCTGTGCAGGATATCCTCCGTGTTTCGCACTCCGGAAACTTGGTCAAAAAGCTTGTCTACCCCACTAGCCGGCTGAGTTCCTTGGCACGCACTCCAAGTCTTGATCCCGGCGGAATCCTCCATGGCCGCCGCCGCTGCTGCAGTAGGCAGCTCTCGCGGCTGCGCCTCCTCCTCCATAGCAGGCCTAACTGCCACAGCCTCCGCCGCTGTGGGTTTTACGACCGAAACCATCGGATTGACCGGAAGATAAGAATTGAACTTTTCAATCAAATCCTCTTGCCCCTCGAGGATTTTCCTGACAATCCAGAGCAGATCCTCAGGTCGGAGCGGCGGCAGGTCGTGGCCGCCGTCTATCAATCTGAAGGGCGAACCGGTGAGATTCTCCAAAACTCTGCAGAAGGTCCGGTAGTTTCCAGGCTTCCCGTGCAACCGAGCCCTGACGTCGTCGAGGAAGTCCATCGCTTGCCCTAATCGCTCCTCTGTGATGGCTTGCGGTGGAAGTAACTCCCTCAGACGCCTGCAACCGTCGCTGTAAACTCCGATTCTCTCCATCTCTCTCTCTCTCTTTCCTTCTTTCAGCTCCGCAACTCGACGCCGGAAAAAGGAAGTAGAATCAGTCAGTCGACCGGGAGTCCTAATATTGCAGAGAAGAGCAGGGATTTACCGTGGCCGGTTAGGATTAGGAAACCTCCAAGAACTGAGAAGGGTAGTGAAGTGAAGGGAAGAGAGGAGTGCAGAGTTTGGGCCGGGCCCAATCCATCGACAACTAAGCCCAAACGGTAAGGGGGAAATGGATATTTAGTTATTTACGCTTTTGTCCTTTTTCGTGTTCTCGTTTTTTCCGTGATCCGCTTTCAGATTATTGGTTGGTTACCTTACCATCTCTCACCGCCGCACTTTCCTTAATTCAAACGGGAGGGAAGGGGATTCCGTTCCGTGGAAAACAAGGCGGAGCTCTGCCCACTCCACCTAACCACTATATATACAGATAAATCGGCTCGCTCAAGGGCGATGTATAAAAAACGAAGGATACTAGAGTTGCGCGCCGCCGACAGTTTCGGAGAAGACAACTCGGAGCGGAAGAAGAAGAAGCAGCAGCAGTGTACAGCGGCGATGGTGTCAGTGGAATTAAAGCTGGAGAGCAAAATCAAGGAGCGATTGGCGAAGGACGAGGCCGCGTACGGGGCTTTTGTGGAGCAGTGGAGGCTGTACAAGGGAGGGAAGATGAGCAAGCACGACCTCTGCTGCGAGATCATCAGTCTCTTCTCCGACGAGATCCATGACCTTGTCCCCGACCTCCGTCACTTCTTCAAAGACTCTTCCCCCGCCGTCGCTTGATCGTTGCAAAATGTCTTCCCTTCCTTTTGCTCGCTTTCTGTCAGATTGTTCTTCTCCGGTAGCGGAATTAGGTGAAATTTCGATTCCGTTGTCCCTTCTTTTTTTAATCTTCGTGTGGATTTGGTTTAGGGTAGGCGTGGATAATTGTTGAGGTTAATGGATATTGGATTGGGAATGAGAAGCACTTACTAAAAATTAGGGTTTTGCCACTGTGATTTGGGTTTACTCCAAGTATATGTGGCTAATCTAATCCAAATGCATTTTGGATTGTTGATCAATGAAAATATGGATTATTTCATTCAACAAACGAAGGAATGATCGAATCGAATCGATGAGTGAGATTTGTATCCGCCATTAGATAGCATTTTATCCTCTCTATATACTATCATAATTGGGACCAGCGATGAGAAAAATTGTGTCGCTAAATTTCCAAGCGTGACAGTGATATAGCTTATTTTCACATATATAATTATCGTAAGCCATAATCAAGGACAAGGGAAGGTAGGGTGATGACCTATGTCCTCAACCAAACTTGTGTCTCTAGGCTATTGTCTTGACAGGTGTAGTTGGAGGAGGCCCTAAATCATACGACGAGGTGGGTTGAATTCTTTCATCATCCGAGCAAAAAATCTTGTCTGCCAATTGTCGTCTCTCACAAAGCAAACAAGACTAAAGAAGAACATGACTTGTAATTACATTTACAAAACAGTGAAAAAAATTTACAGCCTTTTATTTTAGACTCCCCAAAGTTGAAATGAGAATTTACAAAACAAAACTTATCTACATATCCAAAACCATTCACTAAGAAACAGAGTTGGAAAACTCATATCTCCACCCTCGTTTTCATTTGCTAGCTGAAGCTCAAGCCGGCAACTCTAGCTTTACATTTTTCCTCCAGCTGCCCAAACCCACAAAATCGTAAGGTCACAAAACAGTTATGAATTCGATCCCATAATAATTAATAAACAGTAACATTAATTGTGCCATTAGTTTAACATCATCTAGCTACCTCTCTTACCTCTGAATGTAATAGTAAAAGAAATCAGCATAGAGGAGGGTCTGAATTACTCCTGATACCCATGCTGCAATCAAAGTAATTTTTTTTTTCCAAAAAGAAGAAGAAGGAATTAGTTTTAATGTGGTGGTTTTAGAAGACTTGATGATTTTTCCAAAGGTGATTGGTGACCTACTTATCCAATGGATAGACCGTTGTTCAGATAAGTAGCGATAAATCCAGTTTAATATGTACAATGCTCTATATGACCTGCATTACAATCAAATGTCATAATGAAATATATAAATTATTATGTAAATTGAAACAAGGAAACAGGAGAAAGGATTAATTATTACTAATTAATTATAATTACATACCCTAGTAAGAAAATATATTGTCCTGTTAAGTTATCTATATTTCTAGTCCTCTGCAGCAACACAAGCTGGGGAAGTATTGCAACAGCTTCCAAGTACAACGAGAATGTCCACATTACCTGCAAAATACCATAAAAATAAACAACCCGATTTGGAAAATTGAAAGCAACCATATGCTCCAAAAAGTATATTTAAATTGTAATATGTGGATGATGAATACATAGATGGAATGCAGTGCATGCATTTGAAACAAATGGATGAATAAATCGATTAATCGTCATGATCAGAATAAGAATGAAACAGTTTTTAAATATAGGATGACTTCCGTTGGAAGCACTCGTACCTCCTTGAATGTAAGCTTCTCGTGCACAAAGACAGCTAAAGCAAAGGAGACGAGAATGAGGAAATAGCCCGGAAAGGTGTCCTGGTCCTTGTCGTACGACCTTCTAACCAATTTGTGGTGTCTGATGTACCAAATGATGGAGAAAGCGCTTCCTAGGTATATTAGTTTCATGATCGTGTTGTACAACGAGATAAAATGAGTAAATAGATCCAAATAACGTGTAACGAACACCAAAAAGTAAAGCTCCTGAGTCTTCAGAGAAACTCCTACATCCATAAAATTTTATAGTTATGACAAATTTACATTGTATCTACGTATTATCAAAAAATGCAAGACATTTTTTTGGGATGAAGATAGATGAACAATGATTCATAATGGAATTTGATAAAAAAGGGGAAACATTCAATACACGAAAAACACAAACTATATGAATAGAAAAAGAAGAAGAAAAGAAGATATACCTGCACAAGATTTGATGGTGTGAATCTTGAGAAGAAGAACAAGGATACTAGCTAAATGTGTCATGTCTCCTGCAAGCCTGAAAATATTCATTTTGTTGTTTCTTACTTTTATCTTTTGTTATATTTTTGTATGAGTTCTGTCTATTGTGCAGTGTGTTTGGGATCAATTGAATTTTTTTTTTTTACTTTTTTCGGTAGAGTTATGGGATCGAAATTCAAAGAGAAGTAAATATTCTCTCGATCCCACAATTGACCCAACACAACACGAGTGAGTTTTTTTATTTGATTTTCTTCTTCCCCTAATTCTCCCTCCCTTATTCAATGTTTCGGATATTTGTTTCTATTACTCGTACTTTATACTTATGTCTTTTGTTTCTCGCCCACGATTCGCGGGACATCCCAGAATTGTTTGTTTGGGGTTTTCTTTTGAGTCTTCTTTGTTATTTTCTATTTTGTCCAATGGTAGAAAGAAAAAGAAACTAAGTTTGATTATTTTGAGTACAAGAGAGACTTTTGGCCCATGCATTCAATTATCAACCAAATTGTATTTATTGATAAGGTTTTGGCTTGAGCCCATATTTATCGATAAGAATTTTTGGCTCGAGTCTGTATATTGTACTTGTAACCATTCAGTCAGATTATTGATTATGGAATAACATGAACCCTGGTATTTTTTCGTTCTATCCTCATTTTCTCTCTACTCTCTCAATAATATCTAAGTTCTTTCTATAATTAATAAGGTTAGCGACTTGCAGATAATATGAATGAAATAATGTTACTTTGTAGTGGAAGATTATCTGATATTGATTTGGAACAAATTAAGAGAATCAAGGATAATTGACTATCAAAGTAAGTGAAAATGTAGAGAAAACACGATCTTTGTTAGCGGGATTCAGTCGTGGTGCACTGCTTTACTTTCCCTCTCAAGGGAGACTTTGCCTTGAGATATATGTTTTAGGTGATCTTATTATAATCTAACCACAACTCTTTGTCTGAGAATCAAACCCTTATTAATGACGAAGAATCTACATCTTATAACCCCTCTTCTATCTAGCTCAAACTCAACTCGATCAAATTAGAAGAGAACCCAAGAACCAAATTCTCAATCAATCTCACAAAGCACTCTTTGCTTTCTCAGGATGACAACCTAGAGATGTTTGTTCTCTTAACAAAAGGGGCTTCCCGGGATCCGAACACTAGACCTCTTGGTTACAAAAGACTCTAATACCATGTCACGAACCATTTGTTCCCAATAATTCGAGTTATTGGGAGATGTTCAATAATGAATCTTATACCACAAACTAACATGTCCCCCAAATGAAAGATACATAATATGAATGAAACAATGTTATTTTGTAGTTGAAGATTGTATGATCTTGATTTGGAGTAAATTAAGAGAATCAAGGATAATTGACTATCAAAGTAAGTGCAAAATGTAGAGAAAACACGATATTTTTTAGTGGGATTCAGTTGTGGTGCACTACTTTACTTACCCTCTCAAGGGAGACTTTGCCTTGAGATATATGTTTCAAGTAGGGGTGGAGCTTCGATTAGTTCGGTTATAATTGGTAACCGACCAGTAGGTTATCGATTAACTGGACAACCAGCAGCCCCTACCGAACATCGACCGACAAAGTATCTCGGTCAACTGACCGATCGGTTACAGGTTAGTTGTTTGGTTAACCGAGGTAACCGAAGTAATACATTCGGTTCGGTTTCAACCGATTAACCAAACTGTTGGAGCCACGTTCCAGCCGCTTATCTGATGCGCCTTCCACGCTTGAGCTTCCAGCGATAAGGCGCTTAGGCTCTGTGCGAGGAGCGTGTAGTGGGTCCTGATGCGCCTCCCTTGTCCAAGTTCCCCACCAAGAAGCGCTTGCCTCTGCACAAAGGGCGCACTGCGAACCCTAGGGGTTCGTTAGCACTCCAACGATCAAATCAACACTTCGAAGGTAGAGAGAGAAGTAAAACCAAGGTTTTAGTGAGAGAACCCGATCTGAGTAAATGAGGTTCACCTACTATCCTATTTATACTAGGAGCCTCGCCTACCATTGCCCCCCAAATCCGCCCTACGTTATCATCACAATAAATGCGATGTACCTTTTTCCCCCATGCGCCTCGACCATCTGACACCTGCTTCAGATATATGATGTGCATGACCTCATGAGTTGTGCCCCGCATATTGTTCCGACCGTTGGGCCTCTTTGTCTCTATGCACTTTGTGTCAGGAATCGGACCCCACCTTGCCAGATCATCTGCCACTTATTTGGGCCCGACCCTGCCACTGTTGGGCTTGCATTCTCGGCCTCTACTAGCCTTTCTAGGCCCCTTTCTCTCTCGAGCTCATTGTCGCTCCCCCAACACAAACTAGTAACCGAACCGAAACAACCCCTACACACAAAAATCGTTAAAATTGCTTAAAATTAACAGTTCAAACCTACATTTCTACATCTATATCACTCGTAAAATCAAGTTTCAATCACTTTTGCATAGAAAATAGATTTAAATCACCAAATTAATGTCTCAAATCTAGAACATAAAGTCATAAACTTCATAAAGTCACAAATTACAATAGATCCAATCCAAATAGCAACAACAAGTCACCAACAAATCATCACTTATCAACAACAGAAGAAGAACCAACATCTACATAACCCTTTTCTTTCAATTGGGGCAAGAGGTCATGACCAAAATCGTCATATCCATCTTTCTCATACTCTTCCTCCGGCACATCTGCTTCACCCTCCTACTCATCCCCCTCTGGAATGTTCAGACTTGCATCTGCATTGGCAACATTGCCAGTATCACTTGCACTTTCCATTCTAGACTAGAAAGTGGTATTAACTGAGTAAGAAAAAAGAAAACAAAGTGTTAGGATATTCATACATGGAATTAGGTGGAAAGAAATTGTATATGTTTACCTGAACAAACAATAATTAAGAGAGTTTTAGAAATTACCGCTTTCCAAATCCATGATCTCTTCATCATCTTCCCTCTCGTCATTCTCTCCGACCCTGGTAGTTTGATACTTTATCCAATCCTCGGCGCCAATCAATGCCTCCAACATGGCACCACTCAAAGAGGACCTTAATGGACTGAGAATCCGACCGCCACAACTAAATGTTGCCTCTGTGGCAACATAAGAGATGAGAACAGCTAGGATATCCTTAGCCATCTCAGCAAGAATGGGATATGTTCCAAAATGTCGAGACCATCAATTCAAGATGTCAAACTTGGCATTATCACTCTCCTCATTGATGCCATCAGTTTGATATCTCAAGTAGATGTCAACCTCAGCAGAGCTACCTCTGGTTTCATGTAGCAGTGCTTCCCCTTTTCTCTTCTTGAGCCTCTCCTCAAGTTGGTTAATCCTATCACCACCAACCGTGCTCTCACCAGTGGTAGGCTTAGATGCAGAGGAGGGTGATTTTGATCCATACCTTCCCTTTATAAACCTCAAACAATTGTCGTATTTCCGACCTAATGCAGTCAACAATTTCTCCTCCCTTCACATTCCCATACATCATTGCCAAAATCTTGGACACTAGATCAAGTTTACTTCTTGGATCAAGCACACATGCTATATAGATTAAGTGATTCACCTTCATGTTCTTCTCATTCATAACACATGACTCAAACCAATACTTTTGTACCTTTTCCTCAACCTTCTCAGCCATCATTTGGATCTTTTCATGCATATCATTCTTCAATTGCTCAATGATGTCATATACCGGAACAAGCTTCTTGAAGAAGATATGGGTAGTCACATATTTAGTTCATGTACAATGAGAAGAGAACACAGAAGATAAGATTAAAAAAATAGAGATGGTCAAATGTATAAAAAATTTAAATAAAACAATGCAATTCAGAAATTTCACTTACCGGAGACTAAAAGGGTCTAAGTCACTGAATACTTTCAGATAGTCTTTCAAATTCCTAATCAGCTGCCAATCTTGATCAGTTGGAAGCCCACCTCTTGAGTCAACATAATCTCTAAAGGAATGATCGTGTGGACTTGAATACAAAGTTATAAACACTACATCAAACCAGCTAACTCTAACATGGTATATGTGGAGTTCCACCTGGTCGGTACATCCGAAGACACCAGTTTGGTTGACTCCACATGCAGAAATTCCATGGCAGTCTTGAACCTTGTCAACCTAGCTGGTGAAGACCTCACCCACTTCACACAGTCCCGAACTCTATCCATAGCACCACCAATCACTTTCAGTCCCTCTTGTACCACCAGATTAATAATGTGTGCCACACATCAAAACTGCAAAAACTTCTCATCCATCAAATTACACCCCCACTCCTTTAGCTTCGTTATCATGCAATCACCGAGAACATCATTTGAAGTTGCATTGTCCATGGTCATGCAGAACAGATTCTTCACCTTCCACTCTTCAAGAACTCCTGCAAGCTTCTCTGCAATATCAACTCCAGTATGACTTGTGTTGGAAACAAAGGATATCACCTTCTTCTGCCACTTCCAATCGCTTCCAATAAAGTGAGCTGTCACACACATGTAATTCTTGTTGTTATCAGAAGTCCATGTATCCGTAGTGATTGAAATTCTTCCTTGGCTCCTTGACTCAAAAAAATCAATCAAATGTACATTTTTATCCAAGAAGATATGATAGCAATCATCTCTTATAGCTTCCTCTCAGGTATCCTAAACAGTGGCTGAACAATAGACATGAGGTTCAGGGATTCAAATTTTATTAACATCCCTGCTTCCACGTCATCACATTATCACTCCTCTCATCAGAATTTCTTCTCTCTTCTTACAAAAAAAAAAAAAAAGAATTCATTCTCTCTTCCTTCGGTTCCAATCCAACGAAACCGCTTCTTCCTTTTTCGCGATCCGAACGCCAACCTATCCCAAAATTCCCTTCCTGTCTCGACAACCGTCGATAGGGATCTTCCTTGGTTAATCTGCCGCCATTAGTAACTGCCCTCAATTGCACCATCATCATCGCCCTCCACTCCATAGCCTTCTTCCTGTGTTCATTTCTCTCCGGCGGGCTGCAACCACTCACTTGCCGTTACCACCGGGTTCGGGCAAGAATTCATCGCCGCTGGTACAAATCCCGCTACAGATCCGACTACTCCACCGCATAAACCCTTAGCCCGATGAGTTCACTCAATTTCGACTCCAATTCCTCCAAGGAAAGCCCATTCGTGAGGATTCTCCTTCGGCTACCAAACAGACACCGCAATTCAGACCCGGAAAATGCACCCCTAAAACTCACTTTTATTTTCGGGCATAAGGGTTAATCTATATGTTTCTTCTTCACTGCCCAGTTAAGGT